ATATATAGAGAGCTTGTTTTAACATGCTCCAATAACTTGCCAAAAATGCAATTTACCCTATCAAACATGGAGAGAAACTTTAAAGAACAGTCATACCTCGTAGTTTGAGATCAAAATCTCCAAGATCCACTCTGGCCACTCATCCATTTTTGTCAGGCTGCTCCTATTTTCCGGATGAGTACAAGCCAAAAACAGAATATCCTGCAATAGATAGAGTGAGTTCAGAAAGAGTATATCAGTAAACAAGAGATCAACAATACTAAATATGGGTTAAGATGTCTCAAAAGCACTTGGCAAAGTGCATTTTGGTTCATATTCTTCCTTCTTGGAAGTAGTCATGGACCGGCACAAAAGTGGCAATCATACCTGAAGTGCTCTATGCTGTAGAGCCTTAGATGCGTATGGTAGAGAACGCAGGAGGATTAACAGAAGCTGAGGGTGTTCAAAGCGTTGAACCGAATCATAAAATTTCAGGCCATCCTCAGGTGATGAAGCTTTAATCTGCATTGAAATGAAATAGTAAGTGTAGTAGTAGTAGTACTAATGACATGATAATCACATTGTATTATTTGGTAATTATTTGATAAAACATAACTTACCGAAGCCCCAAGCAAAGATTTATAAGCCTTGTCAGTCATCAGCCTGTTTGGAGCTGCTTGAAATGCTTTCAAGAGAGCAAAAAGAAGCAATGAGACTTTATCATCAAACATTGTTCCATTCGCACTACCCATTAGGTTACTCATGACATCAGACTCAGCACCAAGAGAAAGTTTCAAGTGCCCTTGTGAAATCAAGGCACCTATCAATCTTATGATCATAACCACGACACGGTCACTATCATCAACATTGCTTCTTGCATTGTTCCTTGTGTTGTTACTGAGCAGAGTTTCAGAAACAGAGGATGTTCTGTCAGTAACATTCATGGTTTCTGAGATGGTAACTGAATCATTTTCAGAATGAACCATTTCTTGTTGAACTGAATCTGTTTCTTTCAAAGATTCTTCATTATGATCACGACCATGAGTGTCTTGTGGAACTGAATCCAACTGATTCAACAAGCTAGGCTCATTGTGCTGATCATTTTCACTGTGATCAGTCTGCACGCTTGTTCCATCCTTAGCCACAGATTCTACAACATTGTCATCACCTGTTTTAGCTTCTCTCTGCAGCAGAACAAGAAGTGTTTCTATCCCACCAGATGTAATAAATGCCTCTGCAAATGTCTGAGCCTTTGCAGCATTTGGCTGCACAACCAACCTAAACATGAGATGCAACACCCTTGCAACCTAAAATAGATGTAACAATAGAACCATGTCAGAGCAAAAAATATCAAAATATCTGAGACATAACAACCTACCTGATTTGGCTGTGGACTATCAACTATAAAGCCAAGTAATCGATGAACATCAGCAGAAGCAAAAGAAGGAGAAGCTGCTCCCATTAAAAGCTCAATAATCACCAGAAGCTCATCAACCAAAGCATTAACTTCTCCCATGTGACGCACATCTCCATCTAGAGAAAAGCTGTTCACAGAGTCTTTCTCTTGAATAGTCCAGTAACATCTCCTACACCCATCTAAAAGTATCTGAATAGCATCAGCACTCCTCATAGCTGTAGCTTCAGTAAACACCATATCTTGCAGAGATGACAAGAGCTTCTTCTGAAGTCTGTAATCACACACACTCCATATCTTTAGATCCAATAGTAATGTCCGGAAGAGCTGCACTTTGAGTGTATGATTGATCTTCTGAGATTGACAAACAGAAACAATGGCAGCAACTAACTCCTCATCTTCTACTCTAAGGGATGCAAGTGAGTGAAGAAGATAACCAAGTATAGTGGCTAGAATCTCAGGGCCTCTAGTACGAGAGAGCTCTTGATTGTTCCCAGGGTGTTGGATAGCAACTGAGATGATTCTAAAGATAGGTGCAGCTAGAGAGTATGTTGTCAAAGGCAGTGGGAGATCTCTAGAAGATGGCTCAAGACTATCTTTAACCACATTGGTAACTGTTAGAGGAAGCAAAGACATTGGTCCTCCATAAGCTAAGGCCCAGAAAGACTCCACTGCCTTCATTCTTGTTGCAACATGGACTTGTCCTATCACTTCAGCTGGTCTTCTTATAGTACCTTAACCAAAAAAAAACAAAACAAAACAAATATATTTTTCAATACTATAAAACGCTAGGTGTTTCTCTCGTGTTCATGCACGGATATAAATATTTTATTATATACTAAAAATAGAGTCAAGAGGGTATCAATGGTACCTGTAGCTCCAGAAAGAGAAGCATCTGGACAAAACCTTCCATTAAGTAGACATGGATGGTAAAGTAAGTGAATGTATACTCCAAGCTCTGAATCCAAAAGACAGCTTTCCTCTGCCGCAATACGAACATGGTCACTTGTAGCTAACCATGGAAGACCAGCACCATTACCAAAACAAGGCAACACATCACCACCTCTAGAAGCCAACTTTGTCATTCTTTCAGGACCAATAGGTTCTTTAAAGATATAAACTGGCCCCATCTCAGCAAACAAAGCACACCGGCGACGACGACGGTTTAGTAGACTAGGAGTTGTAGGAGGAGGAGGAGGATTTGAACCAATGCAACAAGAGGAAAGTGGTTTGGATATACGAGGAAACTCAAAAGGAAGAGTCTCATACAAGGAACCATCAATATAGAGACGTAACTCACTCTCTGAGTTACCTAAGAGTCCTTGGTTACCATTAGTATGTTCAAGACCAATAAAGTACCAACACTGAGGCTTAAAGGCATGAGTGAAATGTAATGAGTTTTTACTTCCTTTACCATTACTACTCTCAACTACTAAAAACTGTGCGTAGAAATAAACCTCTATCCCTTGGTTATTTTCAGGAGTCAAGAAGCTGAAGAGACGTGGCATGTGACCAGTACCTTCACCAGTATGTACATTAGCAGCAGATGTGTTTCCTGACTTAGCCGCAGAAGCAGCAGCAATGGCGGCTG